GGACCCCGAACCCTAAACCCTTAAACCCTGAACCCGTAAACCCCTAAACCCCTAAACACTAAAACCCTTGAACCCTTGAACCCGATAAACCCTAAACGCTAAACACCTAAACCCTAAACTTTAAAACCCTTAAGCCCTACACCCTTGAACCCTTGAGCCCTTGAGCCCTAAGCCCGTTTGCACCTAATAAGCCAGGGGCATTAAAAGGTTAAACTTTCAGACTTAGAGTTTAGGGTCTAGGGTTTTGGGTTTAGGGTTCTGCTCATTCACCTTGGATTAATAAGAGCCCCCCTTTATGGTATTGGGTAGCTTCTTAGCCTCTGAGGCTTCAACACAGGAGAAAAACAGGGCCCAACGGGAGACCGAGTAAGTAGGATGACTACGGAAACCCGGGGGTCTCGCGGTCGTGGATTTGGGGTGTAGGGTTTAGGGCTTAGGGCTTAGAGTTTAGGTTTAGGGTTTAGGTTTAGGGCTTAGAGGACATGAGTAGGCAATTGTGTCAGTTCACCAGAAGGTTCAGGGTTGAGGGACTAGGCTTCTACCCCCCAAAACGATCTGACAGCCCTAACACCGAAACCCCCAAAACAGTCAGACAGCCCTAAACCCTAAACCCTAGACCCTAAACCCTGAACCCTAAACCCCCAAAACGATCAGACACTGAGCCATCGAGTTCTTCAGATGCGGCCGAAGCCCCGTGATCCCCGAAGTCCACAAAAACCCTGAGCCCGAATTCAAAGGAAGGAGGCCCCTGAACCTCAACTCAAACAGAGTTTGTTTTAAGGGTTTAGGGTTTAGGGGCTTCAGGGTTCAGAATTTGGGGTTTAGGTTTTAGAGTTGAGGATTTAAACACAGAGACCCTACATAAAGTAATCGAAGGCCCTGCATGAAGGAGTTGGCGGGTACCCATGCGAAGCTCTCATAGTTTTTCGATCCTAAACCCTGACCTCTCAAAAATACTTAGGAACTTTGACTCCTACCTAGCCCCAGGGATATCCTTGCAACTCGGCGCCCACGACCAATGAACCTTGCAATCCTAAAACCCAAAGGGGCTTAAAGTTTAGGTGGAGGGGTCTCTTGAATCCTGACACTAGCTAACCCTAAACCTCTGAAAGTCACGCCCAAACCCCTCCTGCACCCCCAAACCCTAAACCCACCCCCACCCCGCCCTAAGTGGCCCGACCTCGCGCTGATGTCGCTGGGAGCCACCACGTAGGTGGTCTCTGGTGGCTCCACCTCCAGGCCCAGCGTTGTCCGAGAAGGGCGAACAACAACGGGGTTGAGGACTCAGGGTGTTTATGGCTACACTATGTTAGGGTTTAGGGTTGAGGGTTTGGGGTTTAGGGTTTAGGGTTTAGGGGCTTATGGCTACAGTACAGAATGTAAGTGAAGCTACCATGTAAGTAGTGCACGTATTATGGGTGCTAAAGAACTTACTTTAAGCACACTACAGGGTTACTATATAGCAAAACAGTGCGGGTTCCACCTTATGGGAACTTATATTATTCTTTACTTTCGTGAGGCTCTCATGTGCTTCAATGGGTGTCGACGTGGCTTTATATTATCGCACACGTAGCAGTGGTTGCTTGGCTTTGCAGAACCTAGGGTATTGGCTCAACGCTTCAGCATCCTTTGGGCGTCGGTTAGGGTTTAGGGTTTAGGGTTTAGGCCTGTTGAACGGTTCGTTTACAACCGGCGGGGACGGGGTTCGGGCTTAGGGTTTAGACTTCCATGGTTTGGGTGTTTAGAGCTTGGGGGTTGCAGAATTATGAGGTGTTGGCGAGGTATGAATAGAAGACCATCCTTAGTGCATGATCTACGGTGGCTACAGTCTTTGTATGACATGAGACTTGTTTTTTCCACAGTAACCGGGGACTAGGCCAGGCCTCAATTTGTAGGGTTTCGAGGGGTCTCGCATTTGGGTAGTTCTTTAAACTAGAGTCCTTTTTTGGGGAACCCTTTTATAAGGGTGTCTGCGTATGGACCTCAAGACCCTAATTCAGAGAACCACGCACTTGGAAGTTCAGGGCCCCGCTGCCTTTGAACTTACGGTTTTTGAAGTTTCGCAGGTTTCAGCTAGGAC